CAGACCCGGGAAGGCTGGCCCCGCAGGCTTGATGAGGCTCTTCCCCTGACACCCCCCCCCCAGGGTCCCAGGCACCTTGATGGTCTCAGGGCTAACATGACTGTGGGTCTCCTTGAGGCGGGAGATGGAGCTATGGCTCAGGCCTCCAACCACCGCCATCAGCGTGTTGAAATTCTGCAACTGCAGCAGCTTCTGGGGGGAGGGTGGGAGGGGAGAACGAGGAGGGGCAAGGCAGTGAGTCACTGAACAAGGCCCAGGATTTGGCCCGGCTTTTCTGGAAAGGAGGCAGTGGGTGAGTGGAAAGGAGGGAGTCACCCTCCTGGCCCCCTGGGAGCTTAGGAGAGGGGGAGAGGCAAGCACCTCTGCCACGTGGACGAAGTGCGTGATGACCAGGGCTCGCTGAGGGGCCGTGGGCTTGCTGAGGATCATAAGCTGCACCCACTGTGAGACACTGTTGAAGAGGGAGATGAATCGCTCCAGGACCGGGTTGTCCACGGTGCAGCCGTGGGTCACGAAACTGTGATAGTCCTGAAACTGGGGGCAGGAGTGGCCTCAGCCCCGCCGGGCTCCTCCCCTCACAGATGGCCACTCCTCCCCCTCCAGCTGCCCGTCATCGGTTACACTGAAACCCCCGACGCACCCCGGGACCCTGCCTACCCCAGGGACCGACCCCGTTCCTCCTGGGACCCTCTCCCCAGCCCACACTCCACCCCCTGACTGAGGCCCTTGCGCCGCACCAGGATCTTGCAGAAGGAGCGATACTCCAAGTAGGTGAGATGCTCTGCCAGCTCCATGGGCTCCAGGTGGTCGAACAATAGGGACATCTTTCGCTTTTTCTGTCCTACAGGGTTCCGCTGGGTCACCTGCCTCTTCCACTTGTAGGTGGGGCTGAGAGGTGGGGCAGGGGCAGTGAGCCCTTTGCTGGAGACGCCCCATGCCGTGCGGCCCCACAATCATGCAGACACACCACTCAAGCTGACAGAGGACCTATACCATCTGAGGCACTGTACCGGACACTGAGGTCCCCCGTCCCAGCAACTCCTGCAATCTCCCCCTCGTCATGCACTCAAGTACTGTGCTAGGCGCTGGGGCGACAGAGATGAGCAAGACACAGTTCCTGCCCTTGAGGAGCTCACAGTCTACTGAGGGAGACGGACACAAAAACAGTCACAAAACAGCATGGCACATATACAGGTCTTTGCACAGGCCGGCAGGGGTGGGCGGGGTGTCTGCACACAGTGCTGTGGGGGAACACAGGAGGGAATGACAAATTCTGCCCTGGGAGGCCTCCGAGCCCTCCGAGCCCAGAGACACTCCACACTTGAGCGGAGTCTTCACAACACAGAGAGGCAGGCAAGGGGACTCAGATGAGCAGAGCACCATGGTGGGAAGGGAGGTAAGGCTGGAGAATGGCGAGCAGACCGCGCAGCTGCAGTATGGAGGGCGTGGGATGGGAGTGGGCTGTGGAAGATGAGGCAGGAATGCCAAGCTGGCCGGAGACTACCAAAGGCCTTAATCCCCGGCCGAGACATTGTGAAAGTGACAAGGAGCCATAGGTTTTCAAGCAAGAGAGTGACATGACCCTCACTCATTCAAGTCAACAAACATTTATTAAGCACAGATGGCGTGGGATGCTGAGTGCCCTCCCCAGCCCTCTAGCTTGCCCCACGCACACACTCTCGATGTCAATGAGGCTGCTGTGCCGCCGGTTGCCTTCTTGGTCAAGCAGAGCCTTCAGCTCCTTGATCTGCTCAGCAAGCTCAGGGTTCAAGTCAAACTCTGCTGGGAATGCTGAGATCCAGTACCTGCTAGAAGCTTCCAGTCACCCAAGGCAGTCCTTCCCCCATCGTCCCCGGAGACCGGAGCTCCCCAGAGAGGGGGAAAGAGCCCCAAACTGTGATTCCCCCCCACACACCTCGGGGCTCATTCCTTCCCCACCCCCGCTGTGCAGATCCAAAAACCCAGGCCCACGCGAGCAAGGGGCAAGCCTGCAGCAGCACACCCACCATGGACAGAGCCAGGACTCAAACCCACACGACCAACTCCCAGAACGTGCCCTTTCCACTCCTCAGGCCAGTCTGAAGCCTGAGAGAAGGAAGCAAGAGGAGGGGACAGAGCCCCAAAAGGAAGACTTACCTGACCAGGTGGCATGTTTTCACCTGCAGCGAATTGGAGTTGTCCTTCCGGGATTGTTGGTAGGTGGAGGAGAGTTAAGGAAATCGAGAATGGAGACTAATTCTAGAAAGGGAGGCAGGGGAAGGGTTCCGAGTTCCGGAGGGAGGCTGAAGGCCCGGCCTGGTCCTAGGAGAAATGCTGGGGGCGGGATCTGGGGTGGGGCCTGTCGGAAAGGGGCTGAAGGCTGGGGGGGTGAGGGGTGAGCTTTGGGAGGGTGCACGGCTGAGAAGGGGGCTAGGTTCTGGGGGTGGCTGAAAGCGTGGCCTGGGTCCTGGTAGATAGGCCAGAGGACGGACCTGGGCTGGGAGTAGGGACAGGTCCTAGACTGTAGGGAGCAGGAGAGTAAAGCCCAGATTGGGGAGGGGGCGGGAGGGGGGGGAGGGGGCGGGAGGGGGCGGGGCCTGAGTCGAGAGGAGGAAAGGGGTGGAGCCTAGGCCGTGGAGAAAGGCTGGGCCAAGCCTGAATTCTAGGTCCTAGGAGGGGCTCGCGAAGCCCAATCTTGGCCTGGGCTGGGCAGCCGGGCTCCCTCATGGACTGGGACTGCGGGGCCCATGGCGAGGCCTGCGAAGGATATATGTGGAGCAGTTTCGCCGCCAGCTGAGAGGAAGGGATGTACCAAGGGTGCATCATGAGGAACATGCGCACCAGCTGAGGGTCCCGCACCTTCCCGGAGTCATCTAACTCCGAGGGGTCAGAGAGAAGCGGGTTGACCCTTGGTCCCGTAGCTGCGGTCCCTCAAGCCTACCTCACAGCCCCGCCGGATATCTGGCCCCCCGCCCACCACCTGCTTTCCCAGACTCTGAAACCAGCAGGCAGATGAGAGAGAAAAGGTAGGGTGGGAGAGGGATAAGGCAGGATCCGAAGAACTGGAGGAGGGGAGCATCTGACCCGGCCCATCGTCCCGAGGGGAACAAGCTGGGGCGGAAGAAGCCTGGGTTCCCCAGGGTCAGGAATCCCAGAGGTCATTTCCTGAGTGCTTGGGGGAAGGGGCACCCCTTCACCAGATAAGCTGACCCCCATCAGCCGGAAACAGCTCCCAGGCCGGAGATAGAGAGTTCCTCCGGATCCTCCGGGGAGACAGATAATGCTCCTCATGGGCCAGAGTCTGGGGATCCCATCCCTCTCCCTTCAAAGCCGGCATACTAGGGAAGGGAAACAATCTTTCTGAAGCGTAGGGATCTCTCTACCCTGTGACGAAGAGCAGGCTTTCGTTAAAAAGGTTGCAGGATACGGAACTGGGTGGGTCTAGGCTGGGGGTCTGTCCTTGGAGGCAGGGACCCCGCTTCAGGCTCAGGGCTGGGCTCAGGCTGGGTGTGCCCTCCCGTGCCACTCACCGAAGGCTTCGATGCAGCCGCGGAGCAGTTCCTCCACTGTGCAGCCCTTGTCCAGGTCTAGGGTGCCCGCCATGGCTGTCGGAGCGGGTAGGCTGGACCAAGCTGCACCCCGGAGCCTCCCACGGGGCTCGGACCGGACCCCTGTCCCGGGAGAAGCAGAGAGGGAGTCTGCGGAGGCGCGGCGGGCGGCGGGGCGGGGGGGGGGGGGGGGGGGGGCCCGGGGGGGGGGGGGGGGGCGGGGGGGGGCGGGCACGCCCCCTGCTGGGCAGGGGCGGAGTCGTCCCCTGCGGCCACTCCCGGGGTTAAACGGTCTGGCCCGCGGATGGTGCAACCCACCAGTTGGGAAACCGACTGGCCGAGAGGCTTCCGGCTCACCCTCGGAGTCACGGGAAGGCCGAGGGGGACTCCCCGGGGATGGGGACGAGCCAGGACTCCGGGGACTGGTTTGTGCCCCAGCCCCTGTTGGGCCCTCTTCCCCTCGCGTCCTCTCCCCAGAGGCACCTGCAGCACCCCGCGGCTCGGCTCCGCGCCCCTCCCGCTTCCCTCCTGCCACAGCCTCCCTTCCCCCGCAGGGTTATTTTGGGAACCCGGAGCCTGAGGGGACCTCGGAGGAATTTCTCCCTGGGATGGGAGGGAGGGAGGAACCCAGGCGTCCTGCCCGCATCGCCCCCTCCTGGGCTCCCTAGGAGGGGAGGCGGGGCTGTGGCAGCCCCCAGGGGCCTGCCCCTGGGGAGGCGAGCTGGAGTGGAGAAGAACATTCCTCGGGCGGGGTGGGGGTGGGGGGGAGCCCGCGGCGGCCGGGAGGCGTCAACGGGAAGCCTGAGCCTGGGAACCGCGCGCTCCCAAGCCACCTCCTCAGTGAAGGCCCCAGGGGTCCGGCCTCAGCCCTTCAGCCGACCGTCTTCCTCCCCAGCCGGAGTTCCTGACCCAGGCCCCCACACTGCACAGTCGAACTGGGAGCGCACACAGAGGCCGGCCACGTTCGAGCACACAGAGAAGGGTGCCCAGAAGGGGGCGCTAGCGCCGTGAGGGGTGGAGAATGCCTGGCTGAATCCACCAGCAACTCCAGTCACTGGCAGGGTCGGACGCACCCATGCAGGGACACACACTCATTCTATACCCGAGGCCAGGGGCTCATATTGGGGTGTAAGACACCCGCCCCCCCACACACACACCCGAGCCTCAGGCACTTGCCTCCCATCCTCCGTCTCAGACACACAATGGCACTCACACCCCGCACACACCTGCAAGAAGGAACCCTCCGGCACACATACCCAGCCTTCCAGCCCAGAACGCAAACCCGTTGATGGGGCCAGTTCCCGGACTTGCAGCTCACTCGAGCCAGGCCAACCTGGAGTTCCGCAGCCACAGAGGCGCTGGAATCGCACACGTGTGCACACACACAAGACAGGGCACCTACACGCATGCACACTCCCACACACGCACACGCCCCCATGGGTGCGCACACACGCCCATTCCGCCGCCCCCCCCCCTTCATCCGCAGTCCAAGACAAGCTCTGCGGCCGCAACGCCCTGCCACCCCTCATTCCCGGACTTTGGCAGGGCCTGGCCCCACGAAAAGGTACCCCGCCCCTACACAAACTCCCCCGGGCTGGAGGGGGGCTACTCTCCTGAGTTCTCTGGCCGACTTTTCCTAGGAGCCACCCATAGCCAACCCCGTCTAGCCCCGCTGCTGCCTCGCTGCGTGACCTTGAGAGTCACTTGGCCTCTCGGAGCCTCAATTTTCTTATCTGTCAAATGGGGGGGTCCGCGGGAGAAGGTCCCGCTGAGACGTGGCTGGGAAGAGCCGGATGTGCCGCGGATGCCGCCCCCTCCCGCGGGTTGTCCAGGGCGCTTCAGCTCTCTCCCTCCCACCCCGGACCCGGCCGCAGACTCTGCACCCACCAATCCACCCGCTGCCCCCAGCCCGCCTGCGTCGCCCGGGGTGGGGGGAGGGGGAGCCCTAGGGGCCCGGCCCTCTTCTGCCCAGCGCCCCGCCCGCTCTCGCTCACTCACTCTTGGGACCCGCGGCACTGAGCCCGCACCCGGCCGGGCCGGCGCCACCTCCGTGCGCTCCAGCCCGCCGGCCTCGCTGCGGCTGCGGCTCCCGCCCGCTCTCCGCGCCGCGGCCCCGCTTCCCGCCGCCCCGCCCCCGCGCCGCGGCCGCCCCCTCCCCTCCCCGCCCCTCCCGCCCCTGCGCGGGGCTCCGAACCGCTGGCTGCGCCTCCCCCCACCGGGGGCTCCCTCTCGCCCCGCACGCGGCGGGCCCTGCGGCAACTTAACCCCTCCCCTGCCGCGCCGCCCGGGAGGCCAGGGCCGCGGGCTGGGGCTGCGCCACCCGCCGCGCGGAGGGTGGGCGAGCGGAGGTCAGGCCTCGCGGGGCGTGGAGGGGGGGGAACTGAACCGAGAGCTCTCTCTCCCCACCCAGACGCCCCTATGCCCCCCGCCCTGCCTGGTGTTGGGCAGAGGAAGCCGGGAGGGGCAGGAAGCGGACTGCGGTGGGGAAGGGGCGCCCCGCCCAGCCCCCGGCCCGGGTTCCTGTTTTCGAAGACAAACCGTTCCCACGGGGCTAACCGGACCCGGGGCCGGGCGTCTTCCTGCGGGCAGAGGGGGGCACGGACCTGGTAGAGATCGGGGCCGTGGGGACAGCGGGTCCTTGTGATAGCCTGGAGCAGGGGCTAGGAACATTTGGGGACAGGGGCCTGTGGGAGGGAGGAATGAAAACGCGGCTACCTGAAAACGTGGCCTCGGTGTCTGGGGATGGGGGCGGGGGGGCTCCAGTTCATACAGTGGGGACGGGATCCGGAAGCCTGGCTCCCCACGGGGCCAGATGGGAAGGGGCAGCTGCAAGCCGCGGGTGGGTTCTGCGCAGCTTGGAGACTGGAAACCGGCGTGCGGGTCCCCCCACCCCCGGCAGGGAGGAACTTGGGAGGGGCAGCCACAGGCAGTTGGGGTCCCCACAAGCCAGGCCCAGGGGAGCCGGTAACCATTTCCGGCGGTTTGGGTTCAAACACACTCACTGTGAAACCACGGGCCCCAAACCTGCCTTTGGAGGCTTGCCCCTTCCTGCCTCAGGGCTGGGGAGGCAGAACCTCCCCTACACCTCAGTCTTGATAATATGAGGCCCAGGAACAGGCCGTTTCTGGTCCTCAGTTTCCCCAAAGTGGGAGGGGGCAACACTGGCCTAGCCTAGACGGTCTGTGAGTGTCCCCCGCCCTAACTCCCCGACTTCAGACCAAGCGTAGCCACCTGCTTAGAGACCCTTAAACGCCGCAGTGGGGCGGGGCTAAGGGCGGAGTCCAAAAGGCGTCAACCACCCACAGGCTCCTCCCCCTCCCGAGTCCCGGCCGGGACAGCGTGGATCCTCGGTAGTCCCGGAGGCCTCTGCCCAAGTCCCAGCTCCCGGCCCCGGTGGGCTCCACCCAGGAGACGCCCCGCCCTCGGCCAGCCTGGCAGGCCGCTGACCTAGTATGGACACAGCTCTGGGAAGAGAGGCGTGGAGGGTGACGCCTGAAGGAGGCTGGAGAGTCTCGGCCCCGCCCCCATGGGCTGCCCCCTCCTTCCGAGGGGACGCACCTGCGGGTGGAGGGGTGGGGCACGGTGCCTGCGCGGCGGCTGTTAGGCCTGCCCAGAGCTAAAAATATTTCCCAACAGACATTGGAATAAGGAGGCTCCCAAGGAGAATCAATTTATTGGGGAGTGGGTGCAGTCGGTGAGACCCATACTAGGAGGGGCAGGGAGCCGGAGAACAGGATGGGAGCAGCGTCCTCAGTCATGCTGGACACGAGGATCTTGATGCCGGGGGAAAATGGGGGGTTCCAGGAAAAGGTTGAGAGATCTAACTGTAGTACCCCCCTCCGGACCAAGAGCTGGGGTTGGCCCACCCAAGGGATTGCAAACAAACTCAGGGGCCAGTTTGGGGTCCGGTCTGGAGGCTCAGATGGTCTTGTCAGGGGCTGGCAGGCGCGTGCGTGAAGGCTCTATGCCCCAGATATCCTGGGCGTACTGGGCAATGGTTCTGTCACTGGAGAACTTGCCTGATGCGGCTATGTTGCGGATCACCATCCGCGTCCACTCTCTTGGGTTCTACAGGCCAAAACACAGCTCTGGGTTCATTCTGCCCGTGGGATCCCCAACATCCACCACAGCCCAGCCAGGGCCACCAAAGCCTTGCTGACCCCTGGCCCAGGACGCCTCACCTTGTACAAGGCACTGACTTTCTCCTGGCATCTAATGTAGTCTTCGTAATCTGCAAAGACTTTAAACCTGGAAAGGAATAGAGAGGCAGGGAGTTCCATGAAGTCAAGGGCCAAGCCCGTCCTCTCCTGGTGGTCTTCCGGGGGCCAGGAGAGTAAAGCTGCTTCCAAAGGAGCAAAGGAGCCTGGCCCCAACTGCCCAGGACCGCTGCCCAGCCTCCCCACACCGCACCTGAGCCGTTCAGCCCAGCAGCCCCACCTGCACGGTTCCCTGGCCAGTCAGCTCACCGGTCATGGTGCATGAGCATGTTGACGATGTTCTTGAACAGGTCCGGCTGTTTGGGGGAGAAGAAGCCACTGCTCAGCTGCTCAATGATCTGCCGAAGCTCGGGAATTCGGTCATAGTACTCCTGGGCGTTGTACCTGTGGGGAAAGAGCGGTCAGCGCCGTGGAAAGGAGTTCCTGGTTCCTCCTCCCAAGAAAACCCGAGAAGTCCTAAGCGCCAGGGTCAAAACCCAGGCCCAGCCTGCTGCTGCCCTCTCCGGAGCAGCTGCACCACCTCTGGCGGTCCTTCCCTGGCGGCCCCCTCCCTTCTCTGCCCAGCTTTTCAACCCCCTTCTGTGCTTGAGGCCCCAAACCAAGTGCTCTTCTGCCCACACACCGCTACCTCTGCTAACCAGTATGTTTCCTTCCGGAATGCCTGGGCTCAAAACCCTCCCCAAGGCCAGTCTCATCTCTTTCCTTCCCTCCCCACCTCCATCCAGCCACTCAGGCCAAGGAGTGGGTGCAGTGGGTCAGGATCCACAAATACGAGGGGGCAGGGAGCCAGAGGACATCCTTCACCCCGATCCCCAGCACTGACGCTGGAGGCCACTCTCCTCGCACTCCGGTGTCAGCCCACACACTGGGGCCCCCACCTGCACTTTGCCTCCTCCTCCCCTGCAGTCCAGTCTCCACCTCGCAGCCAAAACCGTCCTTCTGGAGCCTGCTTCTGAACATGTTGGATCTTGCTCAAAACATGTCCTATCTCCCTCCTGTCCAAAGGACACAGTCTGAACTTCCTAGTCAAGCCCAACAGGAGAATTTCCTTTCAGTATTTAATGCCAGCTCTCAGAAGCAGTTGGGGGGAGCGTAAACTGGTACCAACTTTCTGGAAGGCCATTTGGCAACATGCATCAGGAGCCTTAAGAACTCATACTTTAAAAAAAAAAGAAAGAAAGAAAAGAAAAAAAGAACTCATACCTTATTTGACTCAGAAATATCCCCTCTACTAATTATCTTAAGGAAATAAAGATGGAGACATGGGTGTAAAAGGATGATCATCACAGGGATATTTACACTGCCGAACAGCAGAAATCAACCTAATGTCCAACACTATGGAACTAGTTCAATAAGTTATGACACCTCCATTTTGATGGAACCCTGTGCAGACATTTAAAATATTTTAAAGATTGGGGCGCCTGGGTGGCCCGGATGGTTAAGCACCTGCCTTCAGTTCAGGTCATGATCCCGGGGTCCTGGGATCGAGCCCCACATGGGGCTCCTGGCTCGGCGGGGAGCCTGCTTCTCCCTCTCCCTCTGCCTCTCCCCCAGCTCATTCTCTCTCTCTCTCTCTCTCTCTCTCTCTCTCTGTATCTCTGTGTCTCAAATGAATAAATAAAAATCTTAAAAAAATAAAATAAAATATTTTAAAAACTGTTTAATGATATCAGGAGTCAAAATTGTGTGAAGGCATCAAAATTGTACAGGTGTTGGTCCCAACTTTTACAGATACACACACATACATAAGTATGTAGAAAAAGAGCTGTGACTTTAAAAATGGATGATGAGATTATGAATGACAGTTATTTTATTCTTTGTGGTTTTGTATGTTTCCAATTCAGGAGCATGTATTGCTTTTATGATAAGGAAAAAAATATATTTTAAAATAAATTTTAAGGGCACCTGGGTGGCTCAGATGGTTGGGCGTCTGCCTTCGGCTCAGGTCATGATCCCAGGGTCCTGGGATCGAGTCCCACATCGGGCTCCCTGCTCCTTGGGAGCCTGCTTCTCCCTCTGCCTATCTCTCTCTCTCTCTCTGTCTCTCTCTCTGTCTCTCATGAATAAATAAATTTAAAAAAAGTTTAAAAAAAATAAAATAAAATAAATTTTAAGAAACGTAAAGCCAGGGCGCCTGGGTGGCTCAGTTGGTTAAGCGACTGCCTTCGGCTCAGGTCATGATCCTGGAGTCCCGCATCGAGTCCCGCATCGCACTCCCTGCTCGGTGGGGAGTCTGCTTCTCCCTCTGACCCTCTTCCCTCTCATGCTCTCTCTCTCTCATTCTCTCTCTCTCTCTCAAATAAATAAATAAAATTAAAAAAAAAAAAAAGAAACGTAAAGCCAGGAAAATATCTACTTTGAAAAATGGCATTTCCGACCACAAACACAGCTGTACGTACTCTACTTATATTTCCCTTTTTGCCACAGCTGCCAGGGGGTCAGAATTTAATTTTACTTCCAGAAATTCCAGAAATAATATCATGTCCTAGGATTGATATAATTTTCTTTTCCTTTGCCTTGAGTTCTGTGTGGCTTCTTTCTTTTCCTATGCCATTAACCTCATGTGTTATAAGTTACCTCAAAAGTTCTCCAGAATCCTGAGGGCCAAAACTAAGACCGTACACAGCCTGGACCAGCCTTTCCAGGCATGCCCTCTGGCCCCCCAAGCCCTACCCTCCAGGAGCCACACCTCGGTGCCTCCTGCCCACGGACTGTGAACTTTGGAGCCCTTGCCCCCCATACCCTCTCTGGTCAAGCTTTTCCACATCCTCCACCCGCATGCCGAAGATGAAGAAGTTCTCTTCTCCCGCCTCTTCCGCCATCTCCACATTGGCCCCGTCCATGGTGCCGATGGTCAGAGCCCCATTGAGCATGAACTTCATGTTGCCCGTGCCTGAGGCCTCAGTGCCTGCTGTGGAGATCTGCTCAGAGAGGTCAGCGGCGGGGATCACTGTGGGGAAGCAGCAGGGGACAAGCTCAGCTCCAGGAATAGTCCCACCCCAGCCGGGGACTGCGGAGTTAACCGGATTCAGAGCCCCCTCCACCCCAACCCTACAGAAGTCACCCACTGAGTCTCCCTCTCATCACCAGCCCCCTGTCACTGCTTGGTGATCCTTGAACACCCGAGATCTACCCTGGACTCTCTCCCCAACCCTGCCCCAGTGTGTGTGTGATTTGAAGGGCAAATCTGCCCTATCATTTCTGCCTGAAATTCCACCATGAGAGGGGGACATCCTCGTGATTTGAGCATTGTCCTCTCCAGATTCTTCTTCCAAGTGCCAGCATGCTAGGAACAGGTAACCAATAGCTCTTCCTGGCACTGAACTCATCAGAGCCTCTCTCTGGTGGCACCCCACCTTTCTCTGCCAGCGAGACTCGGTAGTTCTCCAGGAAGATCACACGGAGGCGGTCTCCTACCACCGGGTCATGGTTAACCACATCCCCAATGGCCGTGATGAGTTTGATGATCATCTTGGCCATGTGGTATCCAGGGGCAGCCTGTGGGGGCAGAGTCTGGGGTCAGCCCCACAGCCTGGCCCCCTACCCCCTATCCTGCAACCCAGCCAGGTCAACCTCAACCTGGGTGTCAAAGGACCAGAGCCACAGTCTGTGTCCTGGCTTCTCACCTTCCCTCCAATCATCACAGTTCGGGGCACAACAAACCTATTGGGTTCCTGCTTGATGCCTGTAGAGAAACAGAGCAGAGATCAGTGGACCAGGTCTTCCCTCTGGGTAACCCCTCCTGACAGCACCCATCCAGCCAGGGCCTTGGCCAGGAGACAGTGGACCTGATTTGGGCAACCACTTGCTATGTGACCTCAGATCTGCCATTTTCCCCCTCTCTGAGCCTCAGTTTGCCCGTCTATGAAATGGGGATAATCCCATGTCCCAAGAGTTGTCCCAAGGCCAAAGGAGAGACATTGATTAGGAAATATGGAGTACACAGAGGAGAGCCCCAAGAGACCAAGTGAAACCCTGCCACTCACGGTTGTACAGGGTGATGATGTGGAGGCAGTTGAGGAGCTGGCGTTTATATTCGTGAATTCGCTTCACCTGGATGTCGAAGAGCGAGTTGGGGTTGATATGGACTTTGTATTCCTTCTCTAGGTATGCAGCAAACTTTAACTTGTTTTCCTGAAGGGAGGGAGGGAGAAGAGCTCACCAACAGGCCTCAGCCTCAAGAAATCCTACAGTGTAATTTCTTTCCCAGAAAGGTGGAGGATGGGAGTCTCGCTTGCCGCCCCCTCCACGCCTGCCCCAGAGCAGACATTGCTAATCAATGTCAGCACTCTTCCAGGGCCATCAGCTGATGCCTTCTCGCCATGGACTCCAGGCAACTTCTACCAGGGGCCTGAGGTTGCAGGAGAGACGGGCTCCCCTGGCCATTCCCGGACGCAGGCAACCGGCGCCTCCAGCACGCTCCCTCCCACGCTTGGCACGAGGGTCCCGGGTTGTCGCACTGCCTACCTGCTTCACTTGAGCCACATCCCGGATAAAGGCTTCATCATCCACAAAGGAGAGCAGTTTGCGCAGCTGGTCCAGGTCTGAGATGTAGTCCTCCCCAATGCGCTGCGGGAGATGGCGGTCAGGCCTATGTCCCTCTTCTGTCCTCCCTCACAGAGGGGTCCCTTTCCAGGTCAGCCAAGCCCTGTCCCCGGCAGACAGCCCCTCCTTCTCCAGCCTCCAGCAGAGGCGTGGGGTGTGCACAGCCATCTTCCCTCTGGACCTTGAGCTCTGATGGCTGACCCCACCTGACCCCAGCAGGCCTTCCTCCTGGCCTTTTCCTCAGACAGGCAATGACCCCGAAGCCCTGCTCACAGTCTCTGCCCCCTGCCGGTCTCACTTCTGATGTGACCTGCTGATGACCCTCTCCATTAGACTGTGAACCCGGGGGCCCCCTACAGTGACCCACCTCCACATCCATACACAGCTGATCCCTGTAGTGACCCGTGTTGACTCCTAGTGGCCATACAGTGACCTCTCACCTCA